CTAAAACGATCTTAGTTACAATAAAAATAAACCTTTTTACGGTGGGAATTAAGTTTATAAATGCAAAGCAAAGTTTAGCTAGTAGTATGCAAAATATAGTTGCCGAATTAATATCACAAGGTGATATTAATTTGGCAACTATATTTTGCATTAACCTCTTTTCGGGTGGGTGCTTATGTAAATGTTAGATAGTTAATACTTATACATAATTATATAAAACTTCTCAATTAAGAGACTCTTAAATTTTAAATTTTATTTAGCTCAAAGGCTAAGTATAGCCATAGAACTAGGAAACGCAACCAGTGTACTTGACACTATACCCCGGGTAGTAGGACTGTATGATAAATTGAGTTTTTAGTTTTTTTTTTTTTATTATGGCAATAAATGTTTAATATTTAAATAATATGTACATTAATTAAGATTTCATTTAAAATACTATTAATTACATTTATACTGCGGCTATCGCTTAGTAAAATAATGAAGAAACTATATGATTTATAAATTTTTTTTTGCTGATTTACACATACTCGGATGTGAAAGGACATATTGTGAGAGCCTGCATGTGTGTAAAAAAGAAAATAAAAAAATATTTCGAGGTCAATTGAAGTCTGCCAACACATGTTGCGGCATCGTGGCGGACTCTTCCTTGCCCTAAAAACTCTCTGAGAAATGAAAAGAGTTTTGTACCCAGAATTGGGACGTTGATATCTATATATTATATAGCCTGTAACTTTAACTCTAAACATTATTTTTTTGATAAAAAGTGCTGGAATATTTCACTTATCTTTTTGAGACACATTTGGCATGATGCAAAAGTTTAATTGGGATTTTTCATACAATACAATACAATACAATAACTTTATTTCAGGCATCAAGGACTTAAAAATTAAGAACATTGGCCCATAGCAATATATACCTTAACCTAAAAATATATATAAAATATTGACATAACTTAACACTATTTAGGGAACTTTTTTCTTTGGCGCGTCCCTGTATCGGCGAAACACTACCCCAGAGGGCCAGAAATCGGGAGCGAGGAATGTCTCTTTATGTTTTGCAGGAACCTGGAGTACGTAGGATTTGAAGTTCGTTGACCTATTAGACTCCAGACGCTGCAAATGTAAAGAGATCGGATCCTCAATGCGGCATCGGCTTCGTTCTTCCACGAAGCGCAGGACGTCTTCTTCCGACGTACTTCTGTCCAAACGGGAGATGTAGAGTTGTATGGTTGGCTCCACAGCACGCAGAGTTGTACTCGCGTTTATTTTCGCGTTCCCACGCTGGTTACAGACGGGTCGCGACCGACGTCTCTTCTCAACAAGAGTAAACCCGTCCTTATCAATCTTGTCTTGGGTCACCACTGGAACTGATTTTATTTCCACATTCTTCCGCTTTGGACCACAAGAGGGTGCCGGTTGTAAAGAGCAGGTTTGTATTTTAGTGTGAACAAAACGCTTAAAATTGTACGTAATACAATTACGTCTGTACGTAAAATATAGTATGTTATGTATTAATTTTTAACTACTTTAGTAAGGCCGCCTAAACTTATTTTCTACATAAACTAATTTTAATTTTAATGCTAATAATTGCTTTTTGAGGTAAATACAACAAAAATCAATTTATTATGTAAGTACTGTATATATACTGTATATATATTATATTATTTGTACTAGCGACCCGCCCCGGCTGCGCCTGTGTAAGTATTAATGTGGCGTTATTAAGATAATCCGTTACTATTATCGTTACAGCCTATTAAAGTCCACTGCTGACAATAGGTCTCCTCCATAGATTGCCACGCTTGGCAAGCGGGCTGGCAACCGAACTTGTTTATTTTTAGTCGTTCTTAGAAAGACGGTGTTGGCAATCTCATAATTTGATTCCTACTGTCGCCTCTTACGACACCCACGGGATGATATGGGGTAGTGGATATTCTTACACCCCCACTACATACACTACACACAACACGGTACCTATTAAAATAATCATCAAAGACCATTAATTTAATAAATTTTTCAATTTCTCAAAAAATTGCAAAGTTTTTCGGATAAAGTATTACCTCGATTATTCATGGCATGGCTCCCTATCTGTTTGTAAAGTTTCATTCCAATCCGTTCAGCCATTCTGTAGATTAGTCCAGACAGACAGACAGACAATGCTAATTCATGGACCTCAGATCATCAAATTAATTTTGTTTGTTCGTATTTTATGCACTGCCATACTGTTCATCAGATTGCGGTGAAACTTTGTAAACTTATTGCTTGCACTTGTGCAAAGGTTATAGGCATAGTACAATTAACTTACAGTAGGTGGCGCGCGTATGGTACCTACCGATAAATTTATTTGAAAGTAATATATCACTCAAATTCAATAAATGTCTTATCATTCCTAATTAAGCAATATGTCTTACAAATTTGAAACGTTATTTCCACAATTATTTTTTCTACGGCAGAAACGTGCAGGGTAACCAGCTAGTATATATATTATACGACAATAATGAGACAGAGTAAAGTAAATTGACATTAAAAAAACGTCCAAACTCGTATATAATTGAGTTGTTGACATAATAAACTATCCATAATTTTGGTGTACACAGTTTTAGTAATGATTTAATCGTATGATAGTATTTCTATGTCTATCCATCTATACATAAATAAAATTGAAGTGTATGTCTGTAATATCGAAATGACTGACAATTATCAAGCTCGGGGGTTTATATCCATGCCATTAGACGTAGAAAACTATCTATAATATAAAAATGAATCGCTGAATGTGTTGCTAAGCGCAAATCTCGAGAGCAGCTGAACCTATCTCGCTAATTCTTTTTTTATAATATTCCTTGAAGTACGAAGATGGTTCTTACGGAGAGGAAAATTTAAAATATTGCCTAAAAAGTCTAAAAACAACATTTTTCTATATTCCCATACAAAAGATTCGTAATAATACTTAAAAGTGATTTTGAACTTTAATACCATACTTTAAGTGTTAGTAGAGGGGTTCCGGGAAGGCAAAACAATTGAGTGACGTTAGTATCGTATAAATATTAATGTCAATATTTTTCAATATTTATACGATGGTAACATTACTCAAAAACAAAATTAGAACAACGAATGTTAAATATCTGAGTACCAATGTGTTTTTAAATGGGGAAGAACTGAGCCCTGTTGAATCCACTGTTTTTCTTGGCATCACTCTCAACGCAAAACTTCAGTGGGGCCCCCATATATCCAAACCAGCAAGCAGACTAAGTTCTGCAGCCTATGCTGTAAAAAAGATTAGAGGTTTCACTAGTGTCGAGACAGCTAGATTAGTTTATTTCAGTTATTTACATAGCATAATGTCTTATGGGATTTTGCTATGGGGAAATGCGGCTGATTCAGAAACTATTTTTGTTTTACAGAAGAGGACCATTAGAGCTATTTACAACCTAAAACCGAGAGAGTCTCTTAAAGATAAATTTAAAGAAATAAATATATTAATTAAAAGCTTTTAAAAAATTTACTTTGCAAACATCCGCGCTTTAAAATAAAATGATGTGTACGCATAAATTTTGTACTTATATAGTTTGTACAACCATTAATGTAAAATTTGCTTTTAAGAAAATAGTTCCGCTGGGTTTCTTGCTGGTTCTTGCCAGGACAGAGGGTTTTTTTTCGAACCAGTGGTAAAAATGACTTTCAATAAGAATTACACATGTGATCTATATTCAATAAAAAATTATTCTATTCTATTCTAATGGCGAAACCGATTGTGCTGAAACTTCACGAACAGATAGAGAGCAACGCCAGGAGTGATCTAGGCTACATTTTACCTTTACTTTGATTATTATTTTTCGTTAAATCGAATAATTGTTAAAATACCGTTACAGCCTATTAAAGTCCACTGCTGAACATAGGCCATCCCCATAGATTGCCTCATGGGGGAAAATTTGCCACAGTTGTCACGCTTGGTTTTTTATAGGATAAGGGTGACAAACAAGCACATAGTCTCAGTCACATCTACATCTATCCTCGTTTGCGAATCAAAATGCAGATTCGTTGTCAGCCGTGAGGATTAAGATGGAATGCCTCTTTTCCAGTTAAAAGGGTGACCGGTTCTCTACACTCACCATACGAAACACAGCAGCGTTAAGCTGCTATTTTACGCTGGTATTCTGTGATAGCGTGGTCCTTTCCCGGTCGAGCCGACCCATTCCTGCTACAACTATACCACTAATATAGCTGCAGCAGGGCTCTACCACATAAAATATTATAAAATCAATAAGCATTAATAGATTTTTTGTGTGGTTATTTATCTATGCCACGGTAAAGCAGATTCGCCATAATCGCCACGCTTGGAAGACGGATTGGCGATCACAATAACGTTTGTCTTACACCTAAACCATTGGTGCTGCTCTCTGTCGCTATTCTGGACATTTAGTTAGTTATATTCTTACAGCGCCACTGTACGGTTAAGTTATAATGTATATTAGTAATTATCTGAAAAACGGTGGACCCTGCTAGCCATCCCTGGTACATCCCGCTTATTTTCGAGTGCAACGACCGAGAATCTATTTAATTTATGTTTTTTTTGCTTTTTATTTATTTTTTAAATCTTTGAAATAGCTCGACCGATTGATTGACTTGAAAATCTAATCAGCTCGAAGTCTCAATGAACATTTTCGAACGCCGTGTCGCCTATCTGTTGATTCGTTCTAAAGGTATCGTACGACAATTTTTTTTATATAGGTATACATACACATACACACACAGCTGGACGTCCAGCCGGGAATAGTTGAAACGGCTTCCTATGACCTCAAAACGTCTGATGAAATCTGATGAAAACTCGCATTCCCAAAATGGGATCGAAATCTATAACTTCCTACTTTTAAACATTATTAATTTTCAAATCGGGAAGTTAAAAAATAACTTCATGAATTAAGTGTATCATAAAAATATTGTTCACAGCTAAACATTGAAGTGACAAACAAAAATATTTAATTTAATAGTAACTAATTGTCTAACCTTCCAATTCCGTTGAATGATGAAGCTTGACTTGCTGAATGCGATGCACTGAAGCCCTCTTGAAAGCCAAATGAGAACGATTGTGAAGCGGCATGACTGATGCCTGCTCCACTAGCGCTGCTACTGATACTGGCGGTCAAACCTCCTGTTCCTGTTGGAGCTACGTTGAATCCCCCTCCGAAACCAAAGCGAGGTTTCACTTGTTTGCTACCACCCTCGCCCGGGAGTAGTGTACTAGGATCCCGCTCCAGGTGCTCCAGAACGGGTAGAACAGGTGGAGTAATGGGCTCCAATTTTCTTTGTTGTCGGACATCGTCCGGGAATACGAAACCGTTAGCCGGAACGGGGGTGGACAAGGCCATCCCTATGGTCATCGATAGGCACAAAAAGGTCCAGAGGAACTTCATGTTTGGAATTATTTAGAATACTATGAGCGATGGTCGATGCTTCTTGTATTAATAGGGTCGTACGAGGTCAATCGCGGAGTTGACATGCGGCTCGCGCCGCAGCCTTCAGAAAAACCACTGCGCTGTGTGTGAGTCGATGTCCTGTTCAGTACTCATTCTCCCCTCCCTTAGATACATAAAACTCATTAAACTTTTCCTTTTTTAGCTAACTGCCCTATTGTTTTACTCGTATTTATTATAAGACGCGGAAAACTAAGATGAGCTGTTGTGATTGGGAAACCCGCTGTCCTATTTCTAAACTTTAATATGCGTAGTCTATGCACGTGGGTTAAGTTAGTATAATATGTCTATGATATATTTCTTGAGTGAATCAATGTTTTAATCTATTTGCGGATGCGCATTATACTTTGATAATCTAAACAACTATAAAACACAGTTTGTATTTTAAAGGAAAGGAGTTCGAAAGATTTTATTTTAGTGCCTAGATACACATTAATTACTTTGTCTGTTTGTATGTCTGTCGTTCCGGGTGGAATCTCGCAACTCAAATATCGACCACTTCCCGTTGAGCTGGAGACTTAAATATTGAATATAGCTCAGAATCGGATTACAACGTTCTTTTTTCATATTGTTTCAAATTAAAGAGCCAATTGCTCTTTTATTATTTATTGACTGATTTTCAATTCAAATTCTAATTTGGCAAATCAAAATTAGTTAGATATGCAACCTTTAATTCTTGTCTCTTTATTTTCATGATATTCACATATCAGTAATAATATACACTATCGGTGTGGGTGAAGCCTTTTGTTTCATTAGTGCAATCAATTATGCATAAATTTTGGGGTTCGGAGGATAGTAATTGCTCATGTATTTTAAGTTAATGCCTAAATTTTCGAATGCTTGCTTGAAATGTTTACAGGTGTGAGTAGTAATTTTTGCTACTTTAACGAATAAATATTTCTAGTGAAGATTACGGAAGCATGTTATCTATAAGCATTAATAAAATAATATTTACGCATGCTCGACGTTGTGAACGAGTCTTTTTACATCTCGAAATATTTATTTTTTATGCGTGCAGGTTTAACATGTGTTTTCCCTTCACCGTCCAGTATATTATTATAAATAAGCAATTAAAATTGATAAAAATTGAATTTCTTTGAAGCCATTGTAGCTAAGAGGCAGGGCGTTTTCTTTGATTTTTATACATAAATAAACTAGCCGAATTCAGACAAACTAGAAGTATTTGGAAAAATATTTGTCTAATACAGGCTGCGAAGAACGAATTAGACGCCTAAACATTTTATAAATTCTGGTGGATACTACATAAATGATTGTGTCAACAAAATTTTAGCCAGCAAAATATTTCAATCACTCGACAAACTAAATCTATTCACAGTAAATGTTTAGAATAGCATTTCGCAGATCTATAGTTTGAGGAAGTCGCGTTGGCTCGCGTTAGTTGGCGATAAAATGTTCGTGTTTGAACAATAAAAAATATGAATATGGATAAAATCCGTTAAGACCTTTTATTTCGCTAAAATCGTAAAGCATAATATAACGATAATTTAAAAACTGTTGACAGGTACTCGTATTCTAGACCTGACGAACAAGTTGAATTTCGGTCACTATGTCCAAATCTGCGCAGTAAAATACATTGTAAAATCACACACTCACATTAACAAAAAACGTTAAGTCGACAGAGATAAGGTAAGCTAACAAAAAATCTCGGCAAGTTCATTGAGTTTCATTAACATGTCTTAAGCCATAAGGATGAATGGAAACTTATTATTTGGTACTTTAATTTATTAATTGCATTAAGTAACTTTAATCGTGGTAACATACAAAATAGCAGACCCGCATTTTTTAAAATATAGATTAAGATCAACCGATCTAAAAATAAATTAATAATAATAACTAGAACTTCTGTTTTGTAACTTACTTAGATAGGTTAAATTTTTATATTAATTAATTGATACAATTTGTTTTAGGTGAAGAGTGTCTTGGTGGATTAGCAAAGTCGCAAATGAGGTGTGCCCGTAAATAAAATAAAATCCAAACACATATTATTTTAAAAAAAATGCCTCTTTGAAATTAGTCTGGTGTCCCACGTTGCATTCGGAACCGTAATAATTCACATCTATATTAATGTAGATATGAAGAAAATAAATGATGTTAATTGAATAAAATAAAATGATATTTATTGAATAAAAATTAATTGATAGTGTTATTATCTCAATTGTATCTTTATGATGTGGATTTATAAAAGTAAAAAATATCCGTTGCATGGTTCTATTCGAAATTCACCCTACTACCTTAACCTACAATGCTGATGATATAAATCGAAATTGCAAGTGGGAGTCTCTTTCTCTCTCTCTCTCTCTCTCTCTCTCTCTCTGGGGCTTCAACGGTTCCTACGGCGCCACGATATCTCGGAAACTAAGCGAGATACCAAAAAAATTCATTGTAACTTCGATCATTCTTATTTACGTCGAGATCTATGCGAATCCGCCTTCAAATCGTGGCGCCGCCGTAAGAACCGTAGACGTGCCCTCTCTCTCTTTTTCTCTTTCTCTTGCGCTTTCGGACCCGCCGGCTCCGAAGGATAATGAGATGAATGTAGAATGAATGTAGGTGTGTTTTTATATTATTTTTAGGACAGGGGGCAATTTAAGTATAAACAAAGAAGTTTGATGATGATGTTGCAGACAGACTGTCCGGTGCCGGATCGCGAACGCGATCTGCGGGTAGCTGTTGGTTTGCTTTATTTATTTTTATATTTACATCTAATGTTCTACGTGGCGCAGTGGCTTGGCAATGAGTTGTTGCACTGGGGCCTCGGGTTCGAATCCCGCACGGAACAAGTATTTGTATGGCCTACAAATAATTGTTCCGGGTCTGGATGTTTGTCCTCGTGCAATTTATGTTTGTAAACTGCCTCCACGATACAGGAGAAAATCCTAGTGTGGGGGTAACGTATTTTTAAAAAACAAAAAAAAAATGTATTACATGATTATTTTATAGCGTAAAGCTATTGCTAAGAAGTGGTAATTTATTTAAATATTTGAGAGTATTTATTTATATATCTTAAAGGTTACTCGTATAATAAGATCAGTATTGTTAAGACGGATAGATTACTTAGAAATCGATCACGGGTTTCATAATTGTAACAACAGTTCTATCGAGTTATATCGCATTCGAGGCTACTGGTTGTAATATAATATTATGTGGTCTATATCAGTTGTAAGTGAAAGGGAAAACACAGAGGCATTATGAAATAATAGGCTACACACAACCTGGGCTAGGATGAGTCTAGGTTGTGTGATGAGGGCGTAAGAGAATTTACTTCCCCATTTCATCCCGTTGGTGTATTGAGACTTGACCTCCAATAGATTTTTCAAAGAGATGCTGTGGGCGATAAACACCTACATGTATTCTGAATTAAGAATCAAAATGCATATGCGTTATCATCCTGACTGAGATGGAATGCTTTGTTACCAGTACAAAGTAGATGATGAGTGATGAGAAAAGGTTTCCACTTCTCATCACTCACCATCTAAAACACAGCAGCATTAGGCTAGCGAGTGTGGTCCTTTCCAGGTTGATGCGACCCATTCGTGCTGCATTTAACAGTTAAGCACCTGATGAGGATTGTGAGGACCCTAATTGTGTACAAAGTAATAATTATGTCCTCCAGACCGAATTTCGCTCACTGCGGCGAGCCTCGACGGATCGACGACGATCCTCGACGATCGGAATCCTGTCCTGCGCCGATAGCTAGTAAGCTATCGGCGCAGGACAGGATTATAATGCCCAAGTGTATACGCAAGCACAGGTGACTCTCTATTCCCTCGCTCTCATAGTCCGATGGGACGGTAAACCGACACGACCGGAGAGAGATCAAGCGCAGGACCAACGGCTGTACGTGCTATAAGAGGCACGGGGGTGAGACACCGCCAACTTCATGACTGACCTGACCGGGTAGCTACTGAGATTTTTTCGATGGAAAAGCTCAATAACTGATTTTTTTCGTTCGGTATTATTTTTCGCCCAGGGTTCGAACCCGAAACCACATGGTCAGCAGTCGCACTACTACAACCGCTAGACCAACGAGTCAGTCCAAAGTAATGCGATGATCGCACGTAGGTTAATGTACAGTTTCAGGAATAATAGAGTGACCATAACAAAGAAAAAAGACAAGCCTAGACAATTCAACCAAAAAACGAATTAAAAGCAATTTAAGATTATATTAATATCGATTATATTAGTATCGCGTTACTTTGCGGAAATTAATTATAATGGAATTGAAATTAAGTTAAAATAACTTCATTAACAGACTATTTAAAACGAATAACAATTTTGTATAGAAGCTTGAGAATACATACTTTTGCTTTAAAAATATTTTATTTTTATGATTATCGACAAAACTACTGATTGTAAAAGAGATGGTTCTGAATTCCTAATTTGAGCGCATAATCGCGTTAGCTGGCATATTATTATGTTTGCATTATGCAATAAAAGATAACGAGTTTGAATGCAATAATGCATGAAATAGTATGAAATTCTATACAAAATACAAACGAATAACTATTTTATGCAATTGCAGGATTTGCTAGGAACTTGTGAGGTTAAAGAGTTAAAAAAAATCCTATATTTTTTATTTACTCATGACTGGGATCGATTCTACCGTTGCATTAATAACTCACCTGTCAATCAATAATCAATAACTAAAAACTAACTAAATTAGTAAAAGAAAAAAGAAGAAAATCATGCTTATTCATTCACAGTACTACACAGTACCTTTAGTCTCTTTTCATCTCCAGTGTCCATTGTGACCTATGAGCAAAATTGTTTAGATTGACCAAACTATCAAAATTGTATCTGTAACACATTATTAGCACCGAGTAATTATGTACTCATGTGCTATTAGAATTAGTAAAGAAATAAACGTACGTACTAAGGACTGGTAATAGATAAGAAATTTAATTGGGAATCTCAACTAA